CTATTAAACTAGTTGATTGAAATGAAAATTTTTAGTAAACTCAGATGTTAGACTAGCTAATAAATATAAAATATTAAAAAAATTCAAAATTTTATAATTTTGAATTCTTAAAAAGTTATAATTTTATTTTAATTTTTATAAAATTATTTATCTTCTTTAAAATAAGATAATCATTTTTAATTTCACAATAATTTATAAATATTTTATTATAAAAATTAAGATTCAGTGACTTTATTAAAAAATCCTAAGACGTTTACAATTTATTGTTTTCTAAAATAATGAATGTCATAACATTTATATATATTTTATTATTTGTTATATATCTTTCCCTTTTCAATGTAACAAAAATAAAGAAACCAAAATTAAGAAAAAAAATGAGTAATGGAGAAATTACTTTAAAATAATAAGAATAAAAATAATAAAATTACCTTCAGTTATTAGCTGAAAACAAAAAATATTATTATGTATAGAATTAAAACATATTGGTTGTAGCTACTCATCAAACAACATTTCAAATAGAAAGAAAACTTTAACTAGCTGAAACTTACAGTCATAGAAAATAAAAATGTGGTGGAAATGGGTCCACAGGACCACATATTAAGATATAAAGTTGTGGTTAAAATAAATACTCACTGTAGTCTTTGTTTTTTCTTCCAATTTCAAGGGGATAAGATTTTAAGTTTCAATTGAACCAAAACTCCAGATTCTTAGGGTTCTTGGAAGTGGAAATCAAATAATCAGAAGGGCAATTGGCCATTTTAAATATGAACTAAGGGTACTTTAGTCTTTTCACATACATATATATAAAAAAAATCTAAAAATTTCAGAACACTACTTAAAATTCAAAACAATTAGTTTAACAAATAATTTGTCTAAAACGTTCTATTTTATTTTTAATAATTTAAAAGAAATATATAATCTGTTTCTAGAAATTTCAGATTTTCTTTTGGTAAAAAGGGAAAAGAAAAAAAACAGATTTAAGATTACTTTTAAATTACACATAATTTTCTTAATAATAATTTAATTTAAAAAATTATTCTAATATAATTCCAAAAAATAATAATTTTTTAATATCTCTCATATTTTTTTTCAAAAATATTATAGTTCATATTTTTACTGTTCTCAAAATTTAATAAAAAATATAAAATATAATATAATTTAATACTATGTGAGCGACATTAATTTTACTAAAATACATTTAAATGTTTTTTTTATAATTTAAAACAATAGAACCGCATTTGCAGTTCTGTTGATATATAAATACATATTTCATGAAATCAAATAAAAATGAATATACAAGTAATTTCTATGAGGTCTAAATATTGATTCCATAATTGAAGAATACTATTAGAAATAATATTAAATTAAAAAAATATATAATATTCTTTCGAATTTATGGATATATAGCAATCACCTTCTGTCAATTCTGAGAATTGATCGAATTTTCTAGAACCCGGGAACATAAAGCATGAATTCAAAATATGATTTAGGGCTATCGACACTCTTAGAAGCCCATATAAGTGAAAAATTGAAGCAAAAGAACGCCTGCGGATGGAGAATTTCACAAATCTTCAAATCAAGTCACACTGATCATGTTTTTTTTTAAAAGAGAGATTTGAAACAAATTGAAAATACATACACATCTACAACAATTTGAAATAAAAAATTTCAATCAAACTCCTAAAAATTAAGTGTAAATATTAATAATTGTAAAATTTTATTGGAAAGATAAACATTTATGACATGTTTTTAACTTTAATCTAATAAATATGTTTTTGAATTTTTTTTAAAAATATCATATTTTAAATGTTTAAACTCATCTCTAAAGTTAAGGTTAACAAAATCCTAAAAATAAAATTTAGAAGATTAATAAAGCTAAGAAAACAGAAAGTATTTGGGGCTCACAGCAACTATGCTTTCTATATGTGTTTTCTACAAATTTCATCCACGGTTCAAGGGTCAATAGAATAAGAAAATGAGATGGTGGCTACAATGAAACAAAAGCTTACAACCTTGCTTTAATAGGCTAAACATAGAACCTAACAATAATCTAATATAATTTTTTTCATAAATAAAAGCTCTGAAAATAAATACGTGCATAAACTCGACTTTTTAATGTAATTTACGCTTTCAGGAAAAAAATAATAATAATACACCAAAAGATACTGCACGTGACATTTTTTGGGGAAAAAATATAATAAAAACAAAAAAAAAACTTATCTTGTATTGACTGTCAAAATGATTTAATGTGACTGTAACGGCATAGAATTGATATAATCTTTAATAATAAAGATAAAAAAAAACCTTTGAGTAGAATAGAGTGACCATCTTCTTCACCGTTCCCTAACAATTTCTGATTTTCAGATATTTTGAAGCTGTGGTTCTTTATTTAGAGTTTAAGAGACAGAGTATGTGAAAGAAAGGTGAAAGAGAAGAAAATAAAAAATTAGAGTAATACAGAAAAAGAAAAATGGCATGACAAATGAAGTGATAAATGTAAGTGAAAAATAGAATTGAAATAAATCTCTTAAAATAGTGCTTTTAAAATTAAGAGTACACTCATTACCTCAGCTTGAGTAGAAAAAATAGGTCAATTCTATAACGATAATTAGAAGAGTGAGATGTGATAAAAGTTATTTGCTTGATGAATCCTATGTTTAATGGTGCATCAAATTCGTCTAAAATCAAAATTTGTAACACAACAACGTCAAGTGCCAAAAATGGGGAAAATAACATAAAATCAATCATTCCATTCAATAAAAAACTTCAACTGCAGGTAGTGTGAGGTAATGTCCCTGGGGACCTCTGCCAATTCATACCTAACACTGAAGACAGGGATCTTATAGGTGCAGCAACAAAAGAATTTAAAATGTCACATAATTACTTTAAAATAAATGTGATTTTTTAACATTCACATAATTTGTATGCTTTAATTATCCATGATAAAATTTAATAATTAATATTTATTCTCAAAAATATCCTCTCGTTATATATGTCACATCTCTCTCTGTATGTGTACTGAAAGCTTATATATAAGAGATGAAGATAATAAAAAGAAGAGAGAAAAACAAACTTCGATTATCTTACCTCATTTAAATGAAGGGGTAGTTGCACAGTATTTGAAGGAAATCTCCTTGCTATCTTTAGAAGTATACTGTTAAATGTGTCAACAATAATAATTGCAAAAAATGAACATTATGAATAAAAGAAATAGCAAACTCAGTTAAATTTGTTCAAACTTGTTTTCATATCTGAGAGAAGAATAGAAAACTTAGTTAAACACACTCATGTGATTACTTTAAAAATTGGGAATGTCTTTGCATTGCATGTGTCGCTTTTCCTCCCTGGGCATAATGGCAAAATCAAATTTATAATGACCCACAAAATCTGGTGATTATAAGAGATGGTACACATAATCTTGTGCGAATTTCACAACAAAATAAACATAGAAGTCCTCTATTGGATAAGCATGTAGTAAATAACTTTTCTCTGTTTGATCTAATTAATTGTTTTGATAACAAAAATTCATATAGTGAGGGTGAAGCACAATCAATTGCAGAAAGATTATATATTAGACACAACAACAACAACAACAACAACAATAATAATAATAATAATAATAATAATAATAATCAAGAAGAAGAAGAAAAGGAAATTATGATAGCCTTACCTCATTAAAACGAAGGGGTAGCTTCACAAAATTTGAAGTAAATCTCTTCTCTACCTTCAGGAGTATATTACTTTCTTTGTTGCATTTGAATACAATCACCAAACCCTATCATAAGTTGTCTTCAGTGTGAACATTATGGCCAATTTCTTTTCAAAAGGAACTTCATTACTAGAAAAATTTTAATTAGAGAGGGATGAATTCTGTATCATGAGTTTTAGAATTTTAGTAGAGCTTTGTTACATCCTCCTAATAATTCTCCTACTATTTTATAAAGTAAGTATTATTATGTTAAAAACATAAAATACATTGAATATTTTCCTTATTTAGTAATTAGGAAGATTTATAAAAATAAAGAGTAGAATGATTTAGAATTATTAACAGAGATGTCAATTCAGGACTAACCCTGTGGAGTACCTCTCTAACCTTGACATTTTATGAGGAATAACTTTGTCAAATTGTCTTAACATGTCATGTTTACTTATTTATTGATAGTCTAACTGAATAAACTAATTGGGATAATTGTATCAACTCCTAACTAATTTTATATATGTTCTCTAATTAATCATATGAATTCACAATTTTTGTGACATAATTATATTTATGCATAACTTTGTCATTGCAAGTTTGTTTATATTTCATACTTAACCATTTTATGTCATTTACCTAATGCATATCATGTAATGCATAAAAGCAAAGCATTAGACCATGGCTAAATTTAATCATTTATCTGCCTTTTTCCGTTCAAATTCACTAATCATCTCTATACCATTTCATATTGACTTAACATTAAGGAAATCATGCAAGGTGACTCACATGGTCTCGATATTAAGATTACAATTCTTCGTCATTCTAAACCTTCACATCAAGTATATCATTAAGTATTTTTAATATTATATTTTAATTGAAATTGTAATTAAAATATATTTAAATTACTTATAATACAATACTTAAAAAGTTTTATCTTTTAAACGCTTTCTGTGAGATTTTAATATATCAATATAATAAAGTATCCTATATTGAATTTCTTAAGAATGAAATTTAGTTTTTGTTATAAAAGAAAAGAAAAGAAAAGAAAAGGTTGCCCCTAAAAGTTTAGGTAAGTGCTCTGGCAGCTTCCACACCATGTTCCCGTCGAAAAACGCGTTGGCGAGTGGCGACCTTCGTGGACTAGATTCAAATGCAAAATCACACATAAAACATTGTTGTTTAAAACGAGTTTTATTTTGCATCACAACTAAAAAGCAAAGAACAATAGTGATTAAAATAAATAAATAAAAACACAAAAATGAACCTTTATAAACCGACTCCCGCTATAATTTTTCTGCTCGTGTCAACGAAACGAACTCAGAACACAAACCCAAACACATACTATTTCGCTTCTCTTTCTCTCTCTGTCCACCTCTCTCACACGTTCATGGACTCTCCCTCTCGCTCCTCCGTCATCATCGTAGGTGCCGGCATCTCCGGTGAGTTCCTTCACGGCAACGACTCGTGCCTCATTCATCCGCCACCACCGCTGTTTCTACACTGAATTTTCGCGAATCTCATTCTTTGTTATGCTTTGCTGATTTCAATTAAGGTATTGCTGCGGCGAAAGTGTTGGCTGAAAACGGCATAGAAGACCTGGTGATTCTGGAGGCCTCTGACCGCATCGGCGGCAGGATCCGCAAGGAGCGTTTCGGCGACGTGTCGGTGGAGCTTGGCGCCGGTTGGATCGCCGGCGTCGGAGGCCCACAGGCCAATCCTGTTTGGGAACTCGCCGGCCAATTCGGCCTCCGTACATGCTTCTCCGACTACAGCAATGCTCGCTACAACATCTACGATCGCAGGTTCTAACGAACAATAGTTTATTTTCTCAAGTTTTGTCATTTATAGTGTTGACGACGTCGTTTCGTTGTTTGTCCTCGATGCTCTGTTTTGGTTTGTTTTAGCTAACTGAGTTCTGTGTGGAGTTGCAGCGGGAACATCATTCCGAGTGGAATCGCTGCTGACTCGTACAAAAAAGCGGTGGACTCGGCGATTCAGAAGTTGAGGAACCAGGCAGAAGCTGACGATGATAGCAATAACAATGTCTCCAAACTAACGAAACCGCCTTCGTAAGTGAAGCGTCATTTTCAGCCGCAAAAGCCATTCTGTGAATGTGTTGTTGTGGCTGTATATAATCATGCCTTCAATTATTTCCTTTTTTGAATTGTTTTGTTGTTTTTCTTCTTTTCTTTTTCCCTTTTTGTTGCTTATATCTTTTCTGCTTCCTCTTTTAGGACGCCGGAGACGCCGATAGAGCTCGCCATTGATTTCATCCTCCATGATTTCGAAATGGCTGGTAGGATCCGTTGAGTTTTCGCTGTTAATTTGTTGCCTCCATGAAGCAAATCAAAAAGCAAAGTAATATAAATTCGTGCTTGTAGTTTTGTCCAACAAACACGAGCGTGCACACAAAACAGATAAAATGAAATAAAAAGTTATTTGGAAGCAAAGTGGAGTCTTAACAGCTTTTTAATGTCCTTTTCGATTCCTTAACTGCTTCAATATGTTTATTTCTTTTTTAAATTTTTGGACTCTTTTCTGAAATTGGGAAATTTTGGGTGCAGAGGTAGAACCAATATCTACATACGTGGATTTTGGGGAGAGAGAATTTTTGGTTGCGGACGAACGAGGGTACGATTACTTGCTGTACAAAATGGCCGAAGATTTCCTCTTCACATCGGAGGGTAGAATCTTGGACGATCGTCTCAAACTCAACAAGGTACAATACAATGCAACACCCCATAATTAAGCTGTTTCTCTCTCTATCTCTCTTTCTCTCTCTCTCTCTTAGAAGTTTTCTTTCATAAGACTTTTCCGTTGCCCATGACCTGATGGAGTGGCGGTACTCTATTGGATTGTCTGTTTACTTAACCATTGGCATTGCCCCTTACCTGAATACCCGGTGAAAATCTGTATTTGTTTGTTTCCGTTGCCTTCTGTTTTATTTTGCCCCTTTCATTTATTTTGTTATTATGTTTCGTTGTCTGTTACTTAAGCTCGAGTGTCCCACTTTTAGAGTTTGCAGATAATGACTTTTCAGGACTGTTTAGCTTTTGTTTTTTGCGTGTGCATTTGCGATATTTCTGTCACTCATTTCGTGCTCCTTGTTCTGGTGTCAACTCCCATACCTTTTACGTGAAGCTTTGACTATACTTTGTTTCTGAAACATAAACTACTAATTAATTTAATTAAGCTTTGAGAAGATTTTTAAATCATATAATAAAATATACTGAAGATGCTGATGTCATCAAGAAATAATTAACTGTAGAAAATATATTACAGATTTATGTTACTAGCGAAGCATTTTTTATAAAGAGAAAATAAAAATAATGGATGTGATTGCAGTATTATCCAAAGTCCTTTTTTATTAAAGGGAATGTCAATAACTTTAAGGCGTAAAATTACTGGCCATACAGATAAAATATTATATCAAATTTTGGTCTCTTTCGTTCATTAAAGTAGTTTCATAAAAAAATTAATACGTGACTTAAAATAATTAACACGCAATAATATTTGAGTTGGTAATGTTATGTTTAATAGGGAGTAGAAACTAAAATTAATGATTTTTTAAAGTTTAAAATAAAAAATGTAAGAATTAAAATAAAATTTTGATGTATTTTAGTGACACTAAAAGAATATTTAACTCATTAAAATTAGAATTTGAAAAATGTTAATAATATATTTTTGTAGTACACTGTTCAACACATTTATTGTTATTGACTTTTTTAAGGTATTATATTTATCATGTAAGTATTTAAACTTATAAAAAATTGATCAATTACAGACAGTGTGTGTTATAAAGTACACTCAATAGAGGATGTTATTAGTATCTATCTTAAAATTTGAGTGTTAGAAAAATTATGTACGAATACAAATAATATAAGCATCAGAAATGTTATATATACAGAGAGAGAGACGTGTGTATCTGTGTCTTCGGCATGAATCTCATGTCAATCTAACAAAGTTAATACATTATATTAAATTTTATCTTAATCTTTTATTGGCAAATCCCATTAGTCTACTTAGAATAGAATTATTTACTCATAGAATAACTTGGACAAACTTTAAAAAAAATAAAATCATCAATCACTAACCATGAAAGGGTTACCTGCATTCATCATTATTTATCTTGCTTAATCCACTGTAGTTTTCGTTAAACAATAAAACTATCTTTAATTTTTATATTTATCCTGATTAAATTTGTATGATATTTTCAGTTAATATATTCAATCTTTAAGAAGTTTTCGATGGGATATATTCGACGCTTAAAATTATCTAGCTTATTAACTTATGAAATGAAACACTAACGAATCAAAATAAACCGAATAAAATTTTGAAAGAAGTGGAATTTCACCTGACGTTGAATTAACATTTACGTTTTGTAGAAGAAATGTTAAGAAAAGGGCAGAATTTTGAAATATTATAAAGGTGGTTGTTGGATAAAATAAAATAATTGAAAACTACTTACTCAAATTGCCATAAAAAATCACGACAAAAGTTGTCTTGTAACATTTTTCTCCTATGTATTCTTCAGTTGGGGAATGTACACTTGGTGGATAAGTACTGGGGTTATTCTGTTTTTTTTCTCTCTCTTTTCTTGTTTTTTCTTTTGATTACAGAAATCTTTTTAGTCATCATTTCAGTGTTTGAAGACAAACACTAAGCAGGTCGATCTCAGGGTGTATTTGACCGTTGCTGCATATTTTCAATGGTTTGCCGTCGTACATCAATATTCCGAAACCTTTTGGGGACCTCCACTTACAAGCAAAATTTGACCCACAAATAATGCCTTCTATTTCAATCCTTTTGAAGGTCTTTTACATCTCATAAATTAGTTGGCCCCGGAGTTCCAATTTCTGTTACCAGCCAAACTATTTGAATTGACCCAATGTCATTTCATCTCAAATAATAATAACACGGAAGAAGGGAGTCTTGTCAATATCCCCCATTTATTAGGCAATTCCTCAATTGCTCAAAGATCAGAAACTAATGGACCTGGCTTAAGACTTATAATTCTGGATACATTGCATAACGGTTTTTTCCACGTATATATAAATAAACATGTTAAGAATTTTAAATAAATAATATATATAAGATAATTTTTATAATTTTTAATAAAAAAATACTATTTTTAATTTCTTAACTTCGATCACATAAAAAGACCAATTACATAAAGCTCCAATAAATCAGCAATAGTTGGATGTGCTCCAAGTCTGCTCAGATTCTTTTGTAATAAATATTCCTCAAATTTATTAGTTGATTTCAAGGTTTGACAGCTCAGATTCTCATGAGATTTTATTGATTTGGACTTCAATTTTCTACTTTATTTTTCTTTTTGACAGCATTAGATTTTTGTGGGTCACGGAGTTCATTTTACTTACTGGGAGTTAACTTCTTCGCCTTAGTAATAACAAGGAGAATTTAGAGCCGAATCATAATTTTCTGCATGGATTTGTCCAGGTCGTCCGCGAATTACAGCATTCAAAAAGTGGCGTTAAGGTGATAACGGAGGATGGTTGCATTTACAAAGCCAATTACGTGATTCTGTCTGTGAGCATTGGCGTTCTCCAAAGCGACCTACTCACCTTCAATCCACCCTTACCTGTACGTCTTTTCTTTATACTATTCTCCTTTCTTTTTTGCCCCTACTCTCAGGAGCCCCGTGTAAAATCAAGCAAAGATAGCTGTTATAACTTAAGTATAATTTATAAAATGATGTGGAGCTTACCTATTGGTCCTAAATATGTGGACATCTCGTGCTTCTCACATTGATCTTTCTAAGGGCATTAAATTGAGAATCAAGGCCATTCTATATTCTATAGTAACGTATTTACTTGCTACCAACGTGGTGGAAATGGAATCTTTAGGGTGTGGTTCTGTCTATACGGGTCCCTACAGTAGTAGTTTCCCTTCTGTTTACAGGTCGTGGCCCCACAGTCTTAAATATCATTGGTTGGGAATGTAAAGAAATATAGGGATAGATAGGTTTCGTATTAAATTGAGCTCTCTGGTTGATGACGCCAGAAGAAGTTTTCGAGGTGTCTTCATATGCAGAAACCATGGATTGCATGATCCACGGTATCAGTGATCCACAGTCTCATCGTAGATGGTCTTTTAACCCGCTTGTTTAGGTCAACACGTGGAAAGAGGACACCTACTTGCATTTGTAGCTGTAAATTCAAATAGCTCCCTTGTCTGTGTTGTCTTCAGAAATTTAAAATGTTACTTACCTTACAATGGTTGTTATATGATTGCAATCAAATTATATATATGAAATAGTTAACTAGCTTGAATAAATGCAGCTATATGAAATAGTTAGTCATGTTTTATTAGTTCCAATACCTCAAAATCTACTAACTTACGAGCTTTACTTTTAAAATGGAAAGGAAAGGATCAAAAGTAACTGAGTGGGGTTGGTGTCACCATAGAAAACGTTTGTCGATTTTATTTTTGTATCATATTCATATGAATTTTAGAAGCCTATGGGTGGACTAATGCCCTGTGTCGTGAAATAAAACACTATAAAAAAAGCAACCTAACCTAAACCCTCTCAATTATGTGTCCGGTAGGGGCCGGGGGAGATTGCGTAAGGAAACTTTTGTGTTATACAGCTAGGCCAAGTCATGGTTTACACGCATAACGTGATCGTGTATGAGACAAAATTTAAGTAGAGTTGCTTATGTATTGTTGGTATTGTTTGCCAATTAAATTTAAAGTTTTGCTTTGGTAATTTACAATATCAACAAATGTAAATATTTTACTAAAATAAAACACTAATTTTAATCGATAAACAGTGTTACCAGCACATACCAAATAGCATCTAAGTTTTCTTCTTCTATATTATTAATTTTTTTTATCATTCTCAATCATATTAATAAAAAATAAGTATCAATAATTTTTATATTAAATATATGAAATAAAAACTCTTTTTCAGATACATTAATTGATAAGTATTTTTTATATCATTATTTATTTTAAAATTTATATCAATGAAGTACTCACCATTTATTCATTAAGTGTATACATTCATTCATTTAATACATAGTACATTAATTTAACTATTTAATATTATCAGTAAAAGTTTATTACATATAAGTATTTGTTATTAGTTTTGGATAAATTAAGTATTTATTTGTTGTAAATAAGAATTGAAGTATAATATCTTAAACATAAGGCAAAGCTGTGAAAATATATGCATATCACAACTTATGTGATTTCAATGCCTATCATATGATTAAAACTTATGATTAGTGTCAGAGTTGAGGTCTGAAGGACTTCAATACAGAGTATTTTAAATGTTGAACGAGATATGCATAAGAACACGTAATGTATTTGATCAAATTTTTTGCATTACCAATGATATGAGGCCATAAAACTAAAATATTAAGGGGTACTATCATTGAGGTACTTTTCCGATTCCGTATACTACTTAGGTGGGCTTTAGTCGTCTAAACGTCCCTTCAATAATGTTTTTATTAGTTAATACATTTTGTCTTTTTGAGCAAAATATTGTCTGATTCAATGTCCATGATGAATAAAATAATGAAACAGAGATGGAAATTGGAAGCCATCGAGAAATGTGATGTGATGGTGTACACCAAAATCTTTCTGAAGTTTCCATATAAGTTCTGGCCGAGTGGACCCGAAAAGGAATTCTTCATCTATGCTCACGAGCGGAGAGGCTACTACACATTTTGGCAGGTTTTTTTCTTAAATTTTCCTTAATGGTTGTCAGTTCATTTTCCATGATGTATTTTCTAATGAGCTGTTTCTTTTGCTTTCTGTTTCTGTTTTGTTTCTATTCTCGACAAAGTTTGAAGTAATTCTCATCTATTCATTAGGATGAACAGAGAACCAACTTACTATAAGTCAATTAAAATCTCTAATTCTTGCCAGCAAACGAAATAAGGGAAAATTTGCTATGCTGTCAATTTTACTTCCCGTGAAAGTACAAGCCGCTTACCTAATCTTAGGGACCAACTTGAGCATACATATCTTTCCTTTAGATGATTTAAAGAGCATAAACTAAAGACAGCGATTGGCATGCTGAGGATTTAAATAATACTTTGTTGTTATATTGTGCGGTACATGTGGGTCACATGGTGCATCTTAATTTCCAGCTATCAATTAAACTTGTGGTTTATCCTGATTAACAAGAAATAGCTGAAATAATGTTATCAAACTAGTTATTAAGCATATAAGACTGTTATTTTATCCCCTTCCTGTTGTTATCCACTCTGGTCAAATATTTAGATATTTGTAACATAACAATTCCCTGTTAAATGTACAGGCTCCTCACATCCTGTGAGGTTTTGCATAAATCCCAGTGCTCTTATATAGTCATTGAATTTCATCTGTCTCATTACCTAGTTCCGAATCAAATCAACGATCGGTTGAACTTCATGATGAGTTTATTTACAATTAGCTTTAAATGCCATTTTTATCCCTATTGTTTGGTAATTCAACGTACTAAAGCCGAACTCTATAATTGATAAGAAGTAATCCTTTGTTTGATATGGAAAAATAGCTTTGATTATATTCCCCTTCCCTGATTTACGCAAGATGACACCTAGGTATGAATTTATTTATTTATATTTGAAGTTGTAATTTTGACCTTTTACGTCTTCATGACATTAAATACTGCTGCTGCAACTATTTCCTTTTGTCTTATTACAGTAATATTAATACATCTCCGTTGGGATAACAGAAATAATTTTTTTTTCCTTCTCACTGTTAATAAATATTAAATGGTTCATTATTTCTCTGCGATGGTTGTAATGTTGGCATTCCCTTGGAGTTATCTGTATAAGTTTCGTAATGGGAACTGCTATGATTTGTTTCTCTTTAATATAGAATACAATCCCGTTATTTGAACATCCAAAATTTTAAACTATATTATGTAACATCCAGAATTTGTTTCTCTTCTATATTACGTAACAGGACATATTTCAAACTATAGAATAGCATTATAAAAAGCAAAAATGGCCTCTTGGACATCATAGAATATTGTTCCAGGATATTAGTTTCCATTCTTGTCAATACTGAGAACCTATTGACTTTGTGTTTGAACTTTCTATGAGAACTGAAAATAATTGAAGTCAGAATCGGAATAATATTTTTTGGTAAATGAATCAAAATAATTTTGAGGGCGAACCTTAGTGCAACATAAAGGTTATTGCCTTGTGATCTGGATGTCGTGGATTTAAAACACCTCCGTTCGTGGAGTAAGTTCGTGTATATCTATCCTTCGCAACTGAGTCGTAATAATTTTGAAATAATCTTTGGGATTGATTCACCTAATCTCTTTATGACTCGTACAAATTAGAATAGATGTCTAGTTTCTTTGCTTACTCATCCAAATCTTTTTTGTTATCCGCTAATTTGCTGCTCTGTCACCAGCACATGGAGAACGCATATCCTGGCTCCAATATCTTAGTAGTGACATTGACTAATGGGGAATCAAAACGTGTGGAAGCTCAATCAGATGGACAGACCTTGAGAGAAGCTATGGCAGTTCTCAGGGATATGTTCGGACCCAACATCCCGGATGCCATTGATATACTTGTTCCCTGCTGGTGGAATAACAGGTTTCAGCGTGGCAGCTACAGCAACTACCCCATTATTTCCAACCTTAAAGTTTTTCAAAATATTAAGGTTTGCTTATTATCCTGTTGACTTTTCATATATTTTTTAATTGCGTGACAATGTCTTTTTGAATGTGTTCTGTTCTTTAACATATCAATTGATGCTATACTTGTCTATATATTCTGCACCACAGTGCATGTGAAAACAAAACAAGAGATGACCTCGAGCTTACAGCTGGCGATTATAATTAATTATCACTATACTTCTGCGTCAAGGAGTTTGTTGTCATCCTAGTTCCTTCAACGCTAGTGAATTTTTGACGTACTAAATACGAAAACAAATACATTTATTTATTTAGGCCTTGAATTTAATATAATTTGTTTTTGTTTGATTTCATTCCTGAACAATCTTCCCCATAAGAGAAAAGATGTGCTGTTGGGGAGAGGAGGGGGGGGGGGGTCATAGTGACAATGCTACATAGCACATACCTATATTCCCTTTCTTATCATCACTCAAACACTAAATTCACGTTTAGTTGTGAATGAATGAATCTGATGTTACTTTCATTTTATGGTACCCCTGGTCGCTGATGAATAGGGAAGCAGGATCCGGGGATGCTCACTTCCAAATTTGATATTTGAAATTTTGAACGTCATAGACGGTGTTTTACCAACAAAGCCCAACACAAATATTAAATAAGTGAATAAGTTAAGCTTTGTTTGGGAATTAGGTTTTAGGAGAAAAGGAAAAGACTTGTGTAATAATTTTTTTTATTTGAGAATTTTTAGATAAGAAAAAAGAAAAAAATTTAAAAAATAAAGGAAGAGAGAAAAAAAAAGAATTAATAAAAAATTAAATTAAAGGAACTTAAAACTTATTATTTATAGAACTTCCTTTCATCTAAAAAACAAACCAAGAACTATTTTCGCCCTTATATAGTTTATCTCTTTTGAAATGTTTCAGGCCCCAGTAGGTCGAATTTTCTTCACAGGAGAGCACACCAGTGAAAGATTTAACGGCTACGTACATGGTGGATACCTCGCAGGTGAGGCACTTAAGTCTATTCCTAGTGGCTGATAACTCTAGTAGCAATAACTTGAAGACCTCACACGTGGATATGAATTTATTTTCCTCCTGGATGCTTATCAGGTATTGACACCAGCAAAGCATTACTAGAAGAAATGAGGAAAGAAAAGGAAAGAAAAAGTGAGAGCCAAACTCTTTTGTTAGAGCCCTTGCTAGCATTGTCAGGATCATTAACAATGTCGAAGTCAGAAACGGTCTCCAACATCCATAAATGCGATATTCCTACACAATTATATCTTAGTGGCAAGCTTGGGATGCCAGAGCCAATATTATGACCATTTGGGACTGTAGAGAGTCCTCCCCTTGTAGATGATGCTTGAAGAAGCATACTTGATGAGAATCATCATGGCCAGGACATTCTTGATCCTAAGTCTCATCCAAGCCCTTGGTGCCCCCATTGGTAATGTAGATTACCCACTTTCTGTAGTATGTTGGTGAGGGGAAGAGGTGCCGGAATACTGCGCAGATGTCTCCTCACTTTAGTCCATTTCACTGCTAGCGCAGCTCACTAGGTTTTGATTTTTTAAGGAAATTATTTGGTATACGCGTACGATTACTTTGTTCTTTATAGTCAAAAGCAAGTTGCATTGTAAGGATGCTAGCTAATGTTTGGATCCTAACTTTTTACTTGTCAGTCAGTGATGTCCATTTAAAAGAAACGAACTTTATTTGATTGCTTTTATATATATATAACATACATTTGATTGCTTTTATATATATATATATATAACATACAAAAAGAATATATATATATATATATATATAATTATAATTTTTTTAGATGATTTAATTAGATTAAAAATTTATATTATATAAATTATACATGTAAAATTGAAAATTGATTCAAAATATTTAATATCTTATTCATATATATAAAAATTAACATAATATATACTTTTAACATTTATAAAAATAAGACCATTTTATAACAATTTTATAAATATTTGATTTTTACAAAAATTAATATAAATAATATATAATTATAATTTAATGGTTTAATAAATAAAAATTATTTTCTATATTAAGTTATTAATAGTGTAAGAATAAATGTAATCTATATCATTGTTAATATATATATTCAAATAAATTATTTTATTTTATTAACGGGCCTAAGCCCAAACAAAGAGAAAGTTGCACGAGAACCAGTTGGTGACTAGTAACTCACACAGCATCAACAACTACCATATGCCCTAGTTTACTAATAAGTAACTCGTAAATGATTAAAAACAGGATCATGAAAACAGAACATTTAATTTTGGCTAACACATCAGCAAAGTTATTGTCTTCTATGTACATGTTTTATCCTCATATTCCACTCTTTGATGAAAACTTCCTCAGACTAAATTAGCTTTCTTCTAATTTTGCTGTAATTTCTAGATATGTTATATTTATTTATTCATTTATATTTTTATAAATATTTTTAAATTAAAATTTATATTTTATTAATTTATAAATAGAATATTTTTCATTTATAATCTTATTAAATGAATATTTTTTTTATAAAATTTGATGTTTAGACAATGCTTAGCTTATAAAAAATAATTCTAAGAGAATGATTAATACTTTATAATTAGTATAGAATTTAATAAAAAGAATAGAAGTTTTAAATAATTATGATATGTATGCATGTAATTATAAGTTAGAAATGACTTGAGTTATTTTTTTAATATTTTTTGAAATTTAAAGAAAGTGTTCCAAGAGCGTAGCAAGAGTTCTTATTACTCTTTTCTTTTCTTTTAAAAGAAACTAAAAGAGGTACTAGTAGGGTTCCTCTCTGTTCGGAGGATAAGTGTACCGATCGAGAAGTAATAAAGGATTTTTAAATTAAGTTTCTGAAATATTGTCTTACAAAAATTGATTTTCAATTATTAAGAATGTTCTAATTCAATTGTTTTGAGCTTCAAAGATACGAGATTAAATAAAACAAAAGTTTATAAAATTAATTCTAAAAACTAGAATAAAGAATACAATGCACGTCTTGTTTAAACTTATCGAAGAGAAACTTAGGGTATATAAGTTTACTCATTCAATTTTTTATATTATTATTCTGTTTAATTCTAGATTCGATTTCCTTGTGATTACCAATCATTCATACAAATCCTATCAATACTCAATAGTCATGCAATATTAATATTCTTTTCTATAAATTATTATCACCAATGGTCATGCAAGACATCAATTTAAGAAAACATAAAACATCTATGAACTTATTAATTTAATAACAATTAGAAGAGAAAGATTGGTTAAGTCCTCCTAATCCTTTATCTCATTTTATTCTATAGATCTATTAACTAACTGAGGTACGGCCGCATAACGATATAATTAATTAAGATTAACAAAGAAGCGTAATAGGATAAAATATAATCACAAACGGAAATCAAATTTAAATTCAAACATCAAAATTCCATGAATTCATGAACAAGAGTTTTCATAGTCCTAGTTATGGACTTAGTTACTGTAACACCTTAATTTAACTTTCCAAAATAATGAATTTCATAAAAATAGGGAGAATAAACTTTTTCATTCAAATAAAATCCTCATTAAAATGTTTCAAATTTAAGGAAAAGGGCTACAAAATTCATATCAAATCACTGCTACATAATTAATTCAAATACATTAATTTCAAAATGATATCCTAAGTCCTATAGCATTTCCATCCACCCCTTTACTGAGACTGGTATTGATCGTCTTGATTACCTAAAAAATGAATGTAAGGGTGAGTACTATACACTACTCATTACACAAACAAATACAGAGTCTCACCTTGCGCATATTTTACATTATTTCTAATACAATTCATATAAATATATTCATAGGCAGCATTACCACTCAATTCATTTTTAATTCAACTCTGATGCACTCACGACACCAAACAGTTTACACACACGTAATTATCAAACAATAATCTTGTGCACTCACTGCACGCCAGTCACGCTCACTATGGCACGTGATCACATATTTTCACTATGGATGGTCGCTGTTTAACGCCGCCTCACGGATACCACGTGGGCAGTCATAGGTCGCTCAGCAAAAGTAGTCGTCAGAGGTCTAGTCAGGAAGAAAGTGTGTGGCCTGTGGTGCACTCACGCTCACTATTGGTGTCACCATCACTCTATCTTTCCCAAGGTATTTCTAACGTTCCCATCTTCCACACTCTTAGTGTATCGCTGAACCATTCACAACACAATATAACCACACACATTTCAGTATTTAGTCACAATTCACGACACAAAGCTCACAATCATTTATTTTACACAGCTCTTAGGTCCACATTTGTTCGCAATAATCGTTCTCAATACACGACACAAGTGCCCACATGCATTTACAACATAATTCATTTCAACCACACACACAATATTCACCATTATATAAGGCTGTCGGCCTACACTTATTCACATTGCAAGACACACACATTGCCCTTATTTACTCACACAATATTTTCAACATAGTTCACATTTACATTCCTCATTCATCAAGTATTAGCATACTTACACCACACAATCACCCATCATGGGTTTTTACATGTTATCACGCCTCACAACACACAGCAAATTCCACAAATACATATTTCTTACCCTCTATCTCAACCACATTGCAACATTCATCAAAATACACGACAATTGAACCCAAATAAATAGGGTAGAGTCTCCTTTTACCTTGGATTGAAGACTCACACTCGAATTCAACCACGGAAGTGCTCTCCACATGGATTTCGGCCTAAATACATGAAAGAACTCCATGAGAATCCAAGGAAACCGAGAAAAAGAAAAAGAGGATGAAAAACAAAAACTCTAACCATTAAAACTCACCTCCAAGCGTTCCTAACACGAATCCAACCTTTAATCAAGCTCCCAAATAGATTTTGAGGCAATTTAATCGATGTGATAGGGTTTTGGGTTGAGAGAATCGAAAACATTTCTAAGGGAAGGTGAGAAATAACCTTTCTCGAATCCTAACCACCTTTAAATCCTCTCTGGTCGCGACACTCTCACTATAGTGAGATATTCTCACTGCAGCGACTCCCTCCCTCGCTACAGCAAAAAACTCAGACAAAATTGCACTCTGATTTCTGCAGAATCTCGCTACAGCGAGACTGCACCCAGAAATACAGCCCAAACTGTGGTTTTGTCGCTACAGCAACAAGGCGACAGTTTCATCCTTCTCCTTCAGTACCTTCTCGCTACAGCGAGAAAGGCACAATTTCATGCCTCACGCCTAAGGGCCTCTCGCTACAGCGAGAATGTCCTACCGCAACATCCACACTTAGCCTGCATACATGTTGTTCGCAATCTAACACTAGCAAGTGCACTAGGATTGCAGCAAGTGATGAGTAAATTTAATATCAGAATATCGTCTCCACAGGGAATTTAGGTTTCAAGTACCACTTCACAGAATTATAACCATTTGAGCCATACGAATTTTTGAAGGAGATTTGTAACATATAACAGCAATAAACCAAAGTAATTAAAGCAAAGAACTTGCAGAGAAACAGAGTATAAGATTTGTGATGAAATGAAATAGCAATAAAGGATAGTTAGGAATTTACTTCACAAGAATATCAATATCAATCCAATTAAATCCTCTGAACATTCAAGCAATTGAATAATTGACAATCAGTTTCACATATATCTAGCCAAAGGTTAATTCCTTAACTCATTGACCCTAACAATCCACTAAACCTCCCTAATCCCTTAGGTGAGATTCAATTTCAGGTTGCATTAAGAATTAGAACTATAAGATTGCAGAATTAGGTCTCCTTATCCCTAAGAAATCCCTAAACTCTGGTTGCCAATTCAGATCGGAGCAAACAATCCAATTCCCATTGGTAAAGATTCCTCTTGATTAATCAAATGAATTTCCATTCAGAGATTGCATGAAAAGCAGAATTAACAACTCAATTAATCCAAGAACTTAAAGTTCAGAAGATAAAGTCGAATCAATACATCAATTCGAGTTCCATAAACCCCTAACTATGGGAAATTAAGCACACATTGCAACAAAAACAGAGAAAGAAGAAGAAGATGATGAAGAAGAATGCAAAGCAGCCATGGCCACGAGCTCCAATCCGATCCCTCTTCTTGGAGCTTCAAGCTTCGACCCCAGTCTTCTCTCCACTCTCTCTCAACGAGACTCTAACTAACAAAACAGAAAATGAGCAACCGATCCCGGTTTTCGCGCTTCAATCATGTATATATAGAAACCCCACTTCTGCGTGTTGTCACTTTTCTTCACAAGAGTAACCATGCAGAAGCTTTATGTAGTGCGCGTGTTCACTTTCAAGAGCAAGAGTAACCACGCGCAACTTGCAGGGTTGAAGGCTTCTCTGGAACATTCACTTTTATTCAAAATAGTGGCAATGCAGGAGGTCAAGGGCTGCGCGTGATCACTTTCGTGAGTAATAGTAACCACGCGCAAGCTGTCCTGATACAAGTGCCTCTGGAACGCTCACTTTCGCTGGCGAGAATGACAACGCGCAGCTCCTCAGGAATAGAGTCTTCTCTGGAACATTCACTTTCGCTGGCGAAAGTGATAACGCACACTGGCAACGCTCACTCTTGTAACTAAAAGTGATTACGCACAGGCTCCTCTTCTCATTTAGGCTCTGGAATGATCACTTTCACTAACAATAGTGATCACGCCCAGCCTACATCCCATCATTCTTGTATTTTGGAGTCCAACATTGCCATTCTTCCTCTTCCTTTCCATTGAT